TCTATTTATTATTCCTTTGACCACAATTCCGAGGATATTTTTTCCTTTGGCGAAAATCAGATTGGATACTTTCCCACAACCTTACGGCACACGTAAAAGTTACGCGCTGTATCCGCTTTTATTTTAAAAAACTATGTCAGTGATTTTGTCAACTCTCTTTAAAATGAAGATCATTTTAGAAGACAATAAATATGGAAAGCTATTTTAACTTGTACCATTTTGACAGCTAGAGACAGAAGCCAGTGATATTTCGGAGTATAATTTTATAAATTTTCTAAATTCATCATATAATCGTATAGTACATACATTTTACAAGAGAAAAATATATAAGTACTAGAAAGAGTATCGATTTATTAAAAAGGTAGATGTAGCTGATAATGAAGAAGATAGAAATAATTACATGCAATATGTTACAATAAATTAAATATAATTATGTATAATTATACCTTGTACGTTATATAATTATGTAATACTCGCGTTGGGGGATTTACATATTTAATAAAATACTTTAAGAAGCTGAAACGACCGTTACTGGGACGAGTTCTTCAAATACAGAGCGAAAGTACTTGGCTAAGGTACGCGAACTTGTTAGCAATGCGTTTCAAAAACCTTATCGCAACTGGATCGTCCTGAAAAAGAGGGCTAGGGAGGCGGTGAAGGGGGAGAAAAGAGAGGGAGAGCTGTTCTCGGTTTTACCTGTTCCAGTTATAGAAGAAAACTGGGATTTTCGCATAGCATGTATCCAGGCCAGTCGACGGGGGCCGACTTTACGGGCAGGAACTTTCAATATAAGATCCCGCGGTCCTCGAAACGCGTTGCTGAACCTGCCTCGCGGTACCTATATATGGAAGTGAATCCGGAGTCGCACCACCGCCGTCGTCATGCTCGTTCGCATGGAAACTTACACGATCGTCGAATCGAATTTCGAATTCTTTATCCCGCCCGGCCCGTAACCGTTGTCTGCCGCGTCGTCGGCCGCGCGCGCCACCGAAATCCAAGTCTCTCCCCTCAACTTCAATCTGGTAACCCCCATCCTTCTCCCTTTATATCGCGAGTCACGCTTTGCCATAACTATCGCGCGGATTTATGAATATTTCTCGTCGATACGTATCGATTTGTTTCCTTTCCACGCGTGGGGAGCTCCCGTACGCCGCGAGGAAAGTTTCGCCAATGCAAATTTCAATCCAGATCGTTTTCTTCTGCACCGAGTATGTTTCGAAGTCCCTAAAAGTCACCTTTGTTCCTCGTAAGATTTCATTGCACTTCCTCAACTGTGGACATTGAGAGAATCGCAAGAAAGTGCATTTGCGTCCGTTTAGTATTTTTCTTCACTTTTTACTACACGATTCTGCGGTATATACCTATAACATTGCCGTTAATAGAGCTGGAATATGAGATTATATAATAAACTTTAAAATAAGTAAAGCGCGAAATCACGAGGGGCTGCTGGATTTTCTAGATTAATTAAAAATCTTGATAAGTTGTTTAAAACGCTTAGAGGCACTGATTTCTGATTTCGCGTGAGTCAATCTCGTGAACTCGCTGGACCACCGCGTAATTCAACTCATTTATTGATTTTTCTTTATTGGAATTAATAATAATTTTAATTAATTTCTTTATTAAAATTTCTCATCATGATACGCGACATTTTTTTTTTACTTTAGTTACTAACTCGGAATCGCTTCGGAATCGCAATTCGTCTGGAATCACCGCAATGATTGGTATGTGCGACTGATTTTCTCGCACATTACGTAATTTTATTCTCAGTTTATTCACGCGATCTATCGTTTGCAGAGTACATGCCACTAATATGCAATCCAGTTCACTACATTTTCTGTTTTTACAGTGTTTGGCGCGTGCAACATTACTATAGTTTTGTTGCGCGTATATACCTAATGCATTATTATTTGCACTATTTACAATGTCATGCGTTTCCTAATTTAGCAAATTTCTTAATTTGAATATTCCTTGCATTTTATTATATCTGGTGTTTTAAAATTGAGTATACTACATTTACCATTTTCTCTGTGTTATATCTACTTTTTATAAATTTATATAATATAAGTTAAGAAAAATTTTAGTCGCGTTTTTTTTCAGAACTGTGTACATATATATGGAACTTCCGACAAGCTTGATTAAAATTTAAATATTTATATACATAAAAATTAAATATTTAAATATTTATATGTATATATATACATATATATATTAATTTATATATTGACAATTTTTAGTTATTCATCACTAGATAAAAGTACACGCCAAAATCCATCTTTTCCAATGAATAACTCAAAATTGTCATTTTTCGAGATATGACACTATTGCAGCAATGCCGCGATATGTCATTTTCGCGACAAATCAATGTCGCACTGCATAACAGCGGCAATTTTTCTCCTAATTCTTCCACGCGTATTATTTAAAACACATATTAAAAATTAATTGCAAAAATATAGAAAACATTTGAGTCGTACAATATAAACGCAGGCACAAAAGTTTCAGAGCCCATTTTCAACACTGTATCATTTCGATCCCTTTTAAACCAGCGTCGTCAATGATAGAGAAAAAAGAAAGATAACAAAGAGACATAACCTATACGGTGCCGCGGCCGACGAAACTCCATGCAGCAACTGCACGCTCGTTTCGCGAGCTATCTCGTCAATTGTCTATCGCATTCCTGCGTCAAATAACATGCACAAAACGCCTGTATCATTTTTTTTTTCGCTCGAGGCTGACTTACGCAAAGATTACTGGCCCACGACCCTGCGTGGGTGATCCGCGCGGCGCCCTTGAAGTCAATGTATCGACGGTATCGACCCTACCGTCGCCCGATTCGCTCGCTCCTTCGTCGCGGGGGATACGACGACGTTCGACGGTGCCGATGCTGCCGATGCAGGGACACGATCGCCCGATTCGCATGCTTCGCGTTCGTCGCGTGATCCGCCCCGCACGGGCGAGGCGCCTCTCGATCTCGCCACGACGCGACTTGGAGGCTCGCGAAAACTGTGGGAAGGAACCACTCTCGCAAGTCTCGCACCACGTCGAGGCCACTGCCACTGATCGACGCGTCACGTTCCGGTCGCGTCGCGACCTTCCTCGCCGCAACTCCCCCCGATCACCCTCCGAACTCGCCGAGTATATAGATGGATGCGGCACTTGCAGTGGCGCGCTATAGCGTTGTGTACTATCTGTCATCTGTCATACGACGGTGGAGTCCCAAGCAGAACAG